ATCAACCATCATAGATTTATATAGCGGAATAAGGGCCGCTTTCTGCCCTTCAAACGCATTTTTTGAAGAAAAAAATTAGCATTTAAGTTTGTAAAGCTGCTTGAGAAAAGGGTCTTAAATTTAATAATTAGAGCTCGAATTTTATTGTTAAAAGATAGGCCTAAAAATAAGCGCGTGCCATCATAACTTTAAACAAAATGTATAAATTGGTATACACTTTACTTATAGTTAGATGATAAATATTTTGAAATTTATTTTTTTGGCATAAAAATCTATGCTAAACAGTCACAAGCAACGAGAGACTATAACACTTCGCATCGAAAATCTTGCGTACACCAAGCGTAAATTTTTCTTGCTTATATCTCGCTCATGCTCAGTAGATTCATTCGAGCTATCGTGTCGCTCTAAAAATAAATTCCAAATACGAAAACAAACATTGTGTGATTGGCCGAACGAAAAATAATAATAATTTTCTTCGCGCGATATCTCGAAAATCACGTAAGCATACAAAAGTAGAACTGCTTCTCTTACTCACTTCATATCAATCACACCTCAACAAAGCAAAAATAGATTTTCAACGCTAGATCTCGAAAATGAAGCAATTGAAAAATTATTACTCATATGAGTTCACACATACATTTGTATGTTTATAAAAATAGTAATTCATCGGCACGATATCTCGAAAATTTCGCAGAGAAGTTTTTGCAACTGGACTTGCCTTAATTTGGGCACTCCGATACTGTTAGAAATATTTTATTTATTAATAAGAAAAAATTCGGTAGAAAATATGAAATTTAATCGTCAGTTTATTAACTATAGGTATGTATGTATGTGTGCATTAAATTTGTGAGATATAACGTGTACTACTAAATATTTAGAAAATTTTAAAATTTGTTTGTGAAATTAATAAATAAATTTAAATTTTACATATGCTAGGGCATGTGCTTGTATGTAAGATAATACTTGAAGTTTTAATCAGCAAGATGCGCGATTTTTTCAATATTTTTAATAACCTTTTTTATATAGGTAATAATATATAATATTTTGGCGCTTACACTTTTGCAGTCAATAGTTTTTATGTTTCTTTTTTCGCCGTCAAAACACTCGCGCGACTTAGTTCTGTCGAGGGACGATCTTTTAAAATTTACATACGATGCTTTCATAAACCAAAGACATACCTAGTATGTATACTCGAATAAAAAGCATAACCCCTAATAATATAATAACATTTGAAGCGTGTTATTCTTTAGGATTTCATAGAATTTTAAATTTAGACCAAAACACTCCAAACAAGTTCCGGAAAAACTCCGAAAGGATCCGAAAAAGCTTGAAGGATTCCAAAAAGCATAGAAAAAATAAAAAAAGTCCTAAAAATCCCTAAACATTTCGGAAAGTAAATCACGAAAAAACCCAAAAACTACCGAACAAAGTCCCGGATAGGGCTGCCAACCATCCTTTGCTAAAATATGCCAAATAGATGAATCAAACTTCCAAAAAGGTACCAAAAAAAAAAATCACGAAATACACCCGAAACAAAATTAAGTGCAGGTTACAGGTAGAGCCGAATACAACATTAAAATAGGCTTCTTATAGCTCCTGAACCCCCCATTTTTGTTTTATTGAAAAAGAAGGCGTTATTTTAGTACCTGGTGCACTTATCTATTAACAGCTTGACTATTTTTCTTCCGATTTCAAAAATCGAACATGTTTTGCAAAAGGGATTTCGAGACCTTCAAAATGAATTTATATATGTATATGTACCGGACTTTCAGATTGGCTAAAGAATTCATCAATAGCAAAAAAACTGATTCTCATAACATTTTAGGAAAATGGGCGTAGCACCGCCCACTTATATCATACTTCGTAAGACTGAGGGCCAAACAAAATATTAAACACACATTTATGTACATATATATCGTGAAAAATGTGCCTACATACATATACACTTGTGGTCAACTGATTAAATCTAGTGACATTTTCGTACAAAAATTATGAAAATTCAAGAAAATTTAACATTTGCACCCAAAAATTTTAAACTTTTTATTTCGAATTTTTGGAAAAGTTTGGGTATGCATTTTTATAGCCCATTAAATTTTAGTAGTTTAAAATGCAAATCTCAAGACGCTAGAAAGTCTCGTTGATTTTTAATATTTTTTTTTTTTGTTGATGCTGCTAGTCATATTCTCCCAAACAAATGGAATTGTCGAGCATATTTTATATGGAAGAAAATGAGCTTCAAAATTGCATACCTAAAATTTTTCTAAAAGTTCTGAATAAAAAGTTTGAAACTTTCTGCTGCAAATATTAATAATTGTTGAATTTTCATAATATTTGTACGAAGTTTGAAATGTTGATTTATCTAATAAATATAAGCATTAAGTAAACAAAAGGAAATGAGCGAAAACTAGTCAAAATGTCACTTGACTTAATCAGCTGACCACAAGGGTATGTATTCTTTGTCAGGAGTACATACATACATACATAGATATGTCCATAGTGATACACATTCACTGAAATAAATTACCACAAAATCGGAAATTTCCAATGATGTCAGCCAGATCCATACATCAATCGCGTAATTTGCCTAAGTGCATTTTAATGCAATAAAAGTGTGACCTCAGTGGAAAGGTATTTGCTCCAAATTCAAAAAAAAAATCGCATAAATAAAAATGCCTACATGCTTGCCTTACAAAGCGATATACATACATACATTTTGGCAAAAGTTGAAAAAATTCAATTACGAAGCATGAAAAAAACCCAGCAAAAAATTCTTGAATCGCTTCTAGTAGTAATGTCTTCTAGAAGTCATTCCTATAGATTACCCCATTAAAATTTTACTTCGCGTAAGCGGTTCTTGGTAATGGATAGTAGATTGTGAGTTCAAAACTTGACGTACTATATATAAACTATTATTTCACTCATTTTACTGATTACCGGGAAAACAAAGAAGATCTTTTCAAACTTCCTACGCTCTACTCTTTATTGGTAATGTAGTTTGAAAGGACTTATGGCTATCGACGTGCCCAAGTTAGAGTAATGCCTTCCAAAAGGGAAAAGGTGGGCGGCTCCCAAGATTTCATTACATTCTATATTCATTGCTGTGGCATTAGTGTTTTTTTTCTGGGAAGGAAAATGCATATACATATATAATTATGTACATATATTCTATATTAGGCCAGGCCACAAAAAAAAAGTTGATGGATACCACACCCAGTTTAATCTGGATCATGCAATAAACACGTAAGCGACATTTTTTTCAAATTTTTTTTTTTTGATGCAGAAATATTCCTAGAACACCTAGATGCATTTCTGCATCAAAAACAAAATTTTGAAAAAAATTTCGACCACGTCTTTTTGACGATTAGGACTCGATATGAAGGTAAGAGCCGACCCGGTCTAATATAAACATACCCGTACTTACAATTATAATTAAACATACATACTTACATACATATACATATGTATAAGGGAAATCAAAAAGTGTAACTTTGTTTACACGAATAAATGAGAGAGAAAATCAAAAATTTCATGTTTATTTTCCAACCAAAAAAAAATTAAGGAATGTGTAGACATTTAATGGAAATACAGTGGCGATAAAAAACTTTGCAGAAAATATGGATGCCTAACTGTTTTATAGGCACCAAGTGTTGAATTCATTGTACCACAGCTGTTTTAGAAAATATGCGGCTATGGACCCTGCGACCGATCGCGATCACCGTACAATTCGTAGCTGGGCTAGAATTCGTTGCCATACCCGATTATGCAGAATTCAAAACTTTTTCACTGACCTTTCTTAAGTAGGAGAATATATCATAATGGGACCACTACCGAGATAAGTACTTAAACTAATGCGAAAACCTACCAGCAAAGTTTTACATTTGAGGGATTCACAACGGTGTCGTAAGTGCCGTATTGTTGTATGTCGTAAACTTTAAAAGCTTAAATAAATGTTTAGAGAACTTGAAACCACAATCAACTATTTTTTAACACCGCGAAAATTCATAGTATGACTTTGATAGTACTTTGCCAGGTCCAGTAATATATATTTTAGGCATTTAAAGTTTGCGACGTACAACAATACGACACTTACGACACCGTTGTGAATACCCCAATTGTATTTTTCAGCATCACACACCAATTTGACTACATTTACCAACTCTACTGTAGCTTTGCAACCCAGTTCAGAGTACGAATGTAGAACATTCTTAAAAATGCATCGTAAAAACTTTCCACATTTTCGACCATTTCAATTAAAATTTTTGATTTATGATATTAAAACAATAAACGATTTTACAAAGAAACACAAACAATTTTATGTAAAATACAAGCTCTTTGTGGCACAATGCATATAGAAAAATGCTACGCTAGATTTCTTATTCGAAATAAACCAAATCTAATTGAAAATTTCCCATTTTAATTAAATAGGACAATCCATACCAGATGTAAAGAAAAATTCTTCGCCCATCCATTACGAGAAGTGAGTGTGTGGCTGCGTAATTAATAAAAACTCGAGAATTTCATAAAACGACTCGAAAATATCGCAGATAGAAGAGTAGGCCAGACGCGACAGGGGGGTGTGGGGAGGAAAATATTAGACCAAGTGGCTATTTTCGAAAAGTTGTGTGAATTTGTTGTGCTAAAATTAAATAAGTACACTCATCTTAATAAAAACAAGTGCAACAACAACAGCAACAATAACAACCATTGCCAGCAGAGCATTCAATGGTGGCGTACAACCAACGCCCACGCGATTCCTTTGCCAACGGCCAAGTCCGATGGCGATGGCAGTCACTGCTGAGCAACGAGAAAATTTCTCATCACAGGTATTTTTGGAAAAATACTTCAAGATGAACAATTTCACGCTCATCACATATCTACGTACATATATCGTTTTTGTTGTATTTTTGAGATATTTACACAAATTATTCCGCACATTTGTTAGTGGAAATTTTGAGCAGAGGCAAATGACTCTCCGGGTGCTTTATAAGCGGCCAACACACCCAGCTAAGGCATCAGTAACAGACAGTTTTCCTACTAGCGAGGATCACAAGTAGCAGCTTCATATTTTTCCAAAAACCTAACAAAAACAAAAAACACACACAAAATGTCTCTTGAGCGTGCTATTCGTGCTAAGGTGAATATCAAAGACGAATCAATTTTAGAGTTTGCGAAAAAGGATACTTTTGAATGAAAAAAAAAAGTGAAATGGACAAAAAAATTAATAAGTGAAAAATGGTGGTGAAATGAAAAAAAATTTGAATTAAATAAATAAAATTTGCGTTGAGCAATTGTTGAATTGTTTTTAATAAGAAAATGTGAAATAAACTAAATATGCATGTGCTTTTACAAAAATATACTTTGAAGAAAAGTTAACATTTTCGAATTATCGCCAGCGCGGATTAAAATGGCTAGTGATAATTTCTCACTGCCTATCTTCCCTACAGCGTCAAAAAATTATTAAAATATATTTAATTTTTTTAAATAAATGTCGAATTTTCGAAACCGAATTTTCGTTACCGAAATTTAAAAATCTATCAATTTGTAAATTTGTATCAAAAACCACCAACTAAAGTAAACTTCTTCGAACTATCAACCTAAAATATAGTGAGAGCTTTAAAAAAAAATTTTATTTGTTGGAAAAAAAATTTAAAAAAGTCATTATTTACTTTGTTAAGTTGTTGCGAAAAAATCTATCTACCTTCATTAAAAAACCACGAAATGTTGAAATATCTTTCCAAAGATTTATTATCAGACTAAGTTTATTAATATCTTCTACCTTTCTCTCTCCCTCCACATAGATTGCTGGCAAGCGCAATCCCGAGATGGACAAAGAAGCTCAGGAATGGGTTGAAGCTATTCTTGGTTCAAAATTCCCTGCCGGTGTTTCCTACGAAGACCATCTGAGGGACGGTCAGGTATTGTGCGCTCTGATCAACAAGCTTGCCCCCAACTCCGTGCC